ATATTATTTGTCTAAAATCAAAATACTTGGGTGTTTGGTTTATTTGTTCAGTGCGTGCAATCTTTTGATAGTATGTATACTCAGTACTGTGATTGTGGAAAATTTATTAATCCTGTTGAACCTATGGAAGAAAAAGTAGATGATGATGTAATACTGGTGGAGTCTAGTAAAAAGGCTAAAAAAAGATCACTGCCACCTCAAACCGCCTATTATGTGACTCGTGGTGTTGAATTGTTAGATCTTAATGGTTCTCTAATAGGTAGTTGGCAACTTATTTATTTATTAATCACAAAAAAAATATACATTTTTTTTAATTTATTTTGTTTTTATTTAAGCATCACGACAGAATGTTTGTAAATTATTTAAGTTGATATATCCAACCAAAAAAGGTGGTAAATTTGAATTAAAAGAAGTAAGAGAATACCAACATAAAAAGTGGGTTTTAATTGTTAATTGTTTTTTTTGTTACTGTTGTTAGTAAAAATAATAATATATAAGTTTATATTTATTTTTATATATATTTGACAAATGATTTATAGTTATAAATCTAATTCTTGGCTTGTAAAAATTTCATCAAATGGTCGTTATGTTGCTGCACCTACTATGAATGGAGAGGTGTATATATTCAATTTAAGAACTGGTAAAGTTTCCGGAATACTGCAAGATCATGAAAGTATGATGATTTTTATTTATTTATTATAATTTATTTATTAACATTATGTAGATAGGTAGATAGTCCTTTCAGATTAATGCTACGTGGAAATGACATCGTGCAAGCTAAACAATAAAAAAAATCCATAAATTAATTCAATAGATACAAACTTCTTAAACTAAAATTTATATAATTATAATTATAACGCCATGACGATGATGATGTTTATTTGTTGAAAAAACGCATCATTTTACGAGTTGAATCGAATAGAAAAATTATCTTTGTTTATTGCATCAGTAATTATCAGTAATTGTAGTAGAGTAATAAGGCGCATTATTTAGACCATTAATATTTGATGATGTTCCGCTGTAATCTTTAAAGAAAAAAATTATTATTAATCATTTTTTTTGTTGTATAAACTGTTGTTGTTCT